AGCAGATAGAAAAAGGATAGCACATTCTCAGTTCTGTGCTAAGCACACTGAGCAGAGTCAGAAAGATTTTTTTTAAAATATATTTTATTGATTTTTTTATAGAGAGGAAGGGAGAGAGATAGAGAGCTAGAAACATCTATGAGAGAGAAACATCGACCAGCTGCTTCTTGCACACCCCCTACCCGGGATATGCCCGCAACCAATGTACATGCCCTTGACCGGAATCGAACCCTGGACCTTTCAGTCCACAGACCAATGCTCTACCACTGAGCCAAACCGGTTTCGGCAAGATTTTTTTTTTAAAAGAAAATATCTAGTTATTTAAAAATAACTTTTTAAAGAAAATAAAAAGCACACAATGCAGAGGGAAGAGAGAAAAGAAGCATGGATTAGGAGTCCCACTCATAAAGATGATGATTAGAGACATATGACAAATGAGTATATAGAAGGATAGAAAGAGAAAAGTGTTACTCAGAGACCCTGGGGAAGACTACATTTTGGGACAAAAGGCAATAATTGTTAAGTGCACATTGTTAGGAAAAGGCGATATAAATTGTATTGTTTACTCATGTAGCAGATGTGAAACTAAAAACTTGACTAAGATCTGATAACCAGCAAGGGAAAGGAAGAGGAAGGGGCATCAATAAGAATCATAACTGAATATTCTTGTTGAAAGAAGGAACAATCTCTCTAGAACAATGCAAGAGGAGTCAGAGGTGAAATGATTTCAAGCAGGGGAGCCAATGAATTGTGTTAAATGTTTTCAAATGGAGAAGTCCAGGAAAGGCAATTGAGGTTCAAGAAAAAAAAAAAAAAAAGAAAGAAAAAAAAAGGTCATAAAGTTGAGAGCAAGATCCAGATTTTATTTGGAAAGTGAAGAGGAGTTGAGGGAGTATATAGAGAGTATCCTTTCAAAAAGGTTATCCGTTAAGGGAATAGAAAATATACGTCCCTAGTTTAAATGAGTCTTAGGATGGCATTGAAGGTGTATTTTGACTTAGCATAGAACTTAATCGAAGTTTTATAAGCTCAAGACGACAATCTAGAGAAATCAAAAGGCATAAAACACAAATGTAATAGCCAATGAACAAGGTGCTGAAAGAGTAGTCAGAAAAGAGCCAGCTGAGGGGACAAGAGTAAATGCTAGTCCATAATGAAGAGATATTCTTGCTTCTGAAACAAGAGAAAGGATCTATAAGAAGATCTATCATCTATCTATCTATCTATCTATCTATCTATCTATCTATCTATCTATCATCTATCATCATCATCATCTATCTAATTATCTATCTATCTATCTAGAGAGAAAGGTAGAGGTAGAGAGTGAGGGAGTTCACATTTTATGCATTGACTCAATCTCTAGTTTCTGAAGAAATGTCCCAAACTTTTGGAAAAGTTTCAAATGAGACAAGTGAACAAATAAACATAGATAAAAGGATCCTTAGCAATTTGTGAACTAAGCAGAGTCAATAACATGGACTTCCAGTACGACCAGTTGAACTTATCATATTACTTTTTCAATGACTTTGTGGGTCTTTGGCGCATAAATAGATGAGGAAGAGAAATGATAACCCAGGTACTATATTTACAAAAAGATAATGAGTTATATAAGGCCAGAGCAGAGAACCTCGGGGGTTAGGCTAATTTTTTTCCTTGACATGGCTGAATCTTGAAGAGGCAGTGGGAGAAAGAAAGCAATTCCTAAAGGGGATTGTTATGTGAGAACATTGAATAGCTAAGAAACCAAAATCACCCAATGAAGAATAAAAAATGACTTCCATTGGATTGAAATGGGAAAGCTTATAAAATAAATTGTGTTCAGAGTGGCAGATGTCAGTGTTCAATGTTTTGGACTTGAGATAGTTCCAAATGATCTTGAAATCTAAAGTTGGGGTGTGTTTATGGGAAGCTAAAATTAAGGAAACTCAAGTTTTCTGTTTGAATGATTACATCAACAACAAAGATATATCACCTAGCTTTATTATGTGCTGGGCACTGTGCTAAGTGTTTTTCTTCTATTAATTCATCTTCACCTACCTACTGTGTAATAGATCACATTCATAGCCATTGAGCTCTGCCCCATTCTCTCCATTGAGTGAATTAGTTGGTTGGTGCGACATTGTATAAACACAATATTAAAAAGGATATACTCTCAGATAATTCAACTATAATCAAGGTCTTGATCTTCTAGACACCTGAACACTTAGGGTTCACATAGGCATACATAAATTGGTCATTTAGTTTACTTAGAACAGAACATGTTGCATAACTCTGGCTTTGGCTGTAGATATAATTTAAGGAATGGTCTATAGACTATTTGCGAGGGCTGACATTGCAAAGACAAAAAATTGTCTCTAGCAGCTTATTTCTTCAGAAATACAGGATCTTTTTTTTTTTTTTTTTTGAGGGGCCATTTTATTTTTGTTAATTTTCAAGAATAAGAGGAACTTTTTGAGTCATTCCTATGGTTAAATATGATTTACTGTAGGCATTTATTATATATTTCTCACACATGTATAGGAATTATGACCAAAATGTAAGATGAAAATCAATGCTGGTATTTAACTTTAATGCATTAGCTCTTTATTAGCTATGTGAGGGAGTTCACAGAAAAGTGGATAGGCACTCTGAACTGATCATTAAAAATGCATTACTTAACATTCTTAAGCACTTGGTTGCATTATGATAGGATAATTGAAGCAGTTTTTTGTCCCTCATTTTATTATATAAGCTTTCCAGCACTCTAGTACCATATATAGTTATTGCCATAGAGTTCCAAAACCCCAGTCAGGTGAGGGTTGTGGCTACCATAAGTACCATCTGTTTCACTTTGTTAGTGCTTCTCTAATAATTCAGAAGGTCAGTGGTGCTGTTCCTGATAGGAACTCAGCAAGACCAGAAGCAATAAAACTGCTCTGAGACTAAGAGAGCCTGTGCTCCTCCAGCTGATGGGCAGTTAATTACTTGAGTATAAAACAGTGAGAGCACGGGGAGAAATCAGGAACCTCACAATCTGGTAGCTATCTAAGTACAATATTATTTGGTGTTTGTTTTTTTTTTCATTGAACTGTACTGTTCAATTAGAGGACATGAGCATATCCTGTGGCAGAAGAGGATATAATTTCAAGAGAAGCAAAACACTTTTTTTCTTTTTTACTAATCTCAGACCAGGTGGATGAATGTTCCAAATTATTTACTCTACCAGTGTTTCTCTTCTTGACCAGCACATTATAATGAGCTGGGAACTTTACGCAATGCCAAAGGTCTGGCCCCATGTCCTGTTAATGAAATCTGAGTCTATGGAGAGTCATACCCATGGAAATGCATTTTTTAAAAGTTTGTCAGGGCAGCTAAGAAGATTGGAAACCACTATACTACAATTAATGTTCAAAAATAATAATTTCCAATGTAGATAGATCCAGTTGTGAACAACTAGAATTTTCTTTTTTCTTTTTTTTAAAGACTAGTTTCTTGATTTTAGAGAGGAAGAGATATGGAGAGAGAAAGAGCAACATCAATAGACTGCCTCCTGCATGCGCCCTACCAGGGATCAAGTCCCCAACTCAGGCATGTACCCTGATCTGGAATCCAACCAGAAACCTTTTGGTACATGGGACTATGCCCAACCAAATAAGCCATACTTTTTTAGTTAAATTTATAATACTATGTAATAAAGAGGTAATGTGCAAATTAACCCTCATACCCTCATAATATGGCTGCCTATGACCAGGCCAGCAGGGGGGTTAGTGATGGGTGACCAAACTACTGAACAAGCAGGCTGCATGGGGTGACCAGGCCAGTTGGGGGGAGGGGAGGAAGAGGGGAGACCAGGCTGCTGAAGGGGGCAGTTGGGGGCTACCAGGCCAGTAGGGAGGGCAGTTGGGAGCAACCAGGCTGGCAGAGGGGGCAGTTAGGGGCGATCAGGCAGGCATGCAGAGGAAGTGAGGGGCAATCATGCCAGCAGGGGAGGGCTATTAGGGTGACCAGACAGGCAGGCAGGTGAGCGATTAGTGGTCTAGGATTGTGAGAGGGATGTCCAACTGCTGGTTTAGGCCCAATTCCAGGATCGGGCCTAAACTGGCAGTCGGATATCCCCTGAGAAGTCCTGGATTGGAGAGGGTGCAGGCTAAGCTGAGGGCACCACCCCCCAACCCCTGTGCACAAATTTCGTGCACTAGGCCTCTAGTACTTGTATAGAAAGACTTGTATAGTTCACACATCAACATTGCTTTAATAATCTTTTAAAATTAATTAATCATTTAAAACAAAACACTTGACTTCTTAGTTCTTATAGAGAAGTTTTGAATTTAAGAACCAAAGGCATTTATTTCTAGGAAAAAGTTTTAGCATCTGTGCCAAATTTACTTTAAATCTCTGCATAGCAAAGGGATCTATGTTTCTCCAGTGTTATATGATTGATAGTGTTATTTTAGTTAGCTAAAGAGACAAATATGTGATAGATGTAATATTCTGATGTTTGAAAATACTTTTGTAATTCTTATTACTTAACTGTCTATAAAAATTTTATAGCATTCAATATTTTTTATATTTAAGTAGGCTATAGACATTTCCTTAGAAAAACCATTTTCACATGAAAATGATTTATAATCAGATGACAAAAGATCACTACGGGCAGTTTCATGATTAGTAATCTCTGAAAGGGTGGTACAAAGAGCACTAACTTCTCTTCACTTTGGCCTTTCAGAAGGAATGTATCAATAGATGCCCTCCTCTTAAGTGCCCTGTGTTACTTCCATGTGTCTGTATGATCACCTATAACAAAAGAGTCTAATCTAAATTTAGTTTTACAGAAAATATGATAAAATGCTATTTACTAATTTTAAGACCTCTTACATCTTGGCTTTATGTTTTCAGTTTGAGATTTTTGAGTAGTATTATTTTTAATGTAAAATGTCTCAAAGATATTTGCTACAGTCATTATACTCCACATATTGTTTTCAAAAGATATTCTTTTCTTTTTGTTTTGTTTTTTCAACTAGGACCCCTACTATGGCTGGTGGCCTATTTTCTATTGACAGAAACTACTTTGAAGAGATAGGAACTTACGATGCAGGAATGGATATCTGGGGTGGAGAGAATCTTGAAATGTCTTTTAGGGTAATTGCCTTTTCCTTTATTTTTTGACTCTAAACATACTATGCTGTTGCATGCACACATAGACCTAGTCATTTACTGTGGAACCTTTTTTGTGAAGTGATGCAAATTGCTGATCTGTTGACATGTTAACACTTATTAAGAAGATTTGCTAGAGTCTTTTGCATGCAATATTTACTGTTAAATGGGAAAATTTAGTTATTTTTTTAAGTTTTCAAAATAATTATTTTATTCATAGTACAAAGACATTGTCTTTCAAGTGTTTAAAATAAAGACAGGCTTTACTTTTTTCAATAAAGCAGTTCCCTATAAAATCAATGTGTATTTTGGCACTAAAACCATGTTATCTGAATTTGCAAATGCTGCCTGAGGTTATTCTCAAATAACTTTAACAATGATCTGTTGAAAGATTTTCTGTATAATTGTGTGTGTAGCATAACTACTTTTACAATCATAGACATTGTTTGATGAATCAGTTTAAATAATGCAAATTCACTCATTAAGTGACCTTCTAGGTAAATTAAAAATTAATAATTACTCCCTCATATATATGATTTAGGAAACATATAAATATTTTTAAGATTTTATTATATTTATAAATTTAAAATAGAGACACATAAATGTGCTTTCATCCTATCAAATAAGTGCTAATATACTGTTGTTTTTTCTTCAAACCACATATATTATCATTTTAAGTGAAATAAGTTAGTAGCATTGCTATTTTTTCCTTTTTAGAATTTAACATGAAATATTCAAAACACTATTGTTTGCCAAAATTATTTGTGCAATGAAATTGTTAGAGTTTAGGTATATTTATCAATGATATATAGATTTATATATACACTTTGGACAGTAAAGTTTTTTTCACTTATAAAATATAATAATGTTCTGTAAGAAAATGTTTCAAATTGAAACTAAGAACTACTTTGAATTTATATAACATGGAACTTAATGGATCTTATATAATCTGAATTATTTTATAAGTACTAGAATGGCCTAGTTATACAATTGTTTGCCTATAAACCTTTCTTATAGTCAGATGTCTGAAAACAGCATTAGTTAATGGAATTTTATTCTTTCTGTATTTGCTTATATATTTATAGTTTATTGCAACTTGCTTTACAGTCTTAGTACAATACTCAGGAATGTGTTCTTGCATCAGGCACATGATGCATCTTTGCACAACCTTTGGGGACATTTGGGACCTAACATTTTTACTTCATGGGGTTCAGAAAGTGCAGAGAATAACAGATGACAATTATGAAAACGAAGAAGAAAGAGGAAGGAAGGAAGGAAGGAAGGAAGGAAGGAAGGAAGGAAGGAAGGAAGGAAGGAAGGAAGGAAGGAAGTGCAAATCTTAAAAGCAGTTTGCTCTTCATCTTAGATATGATGATGAGAATATTTACATATTAATAAACCAATATTCCTTGAATATTGCCCTGAGATTACATAAGGAAAAAATCAACATGGTAATATTACTATTATCTGTGATTCTACTGCCCACCTTTTTTCATTGTTTTCTAAGATTCATATTCACCTCTGTTCTTCTTGCCTGTTAAGCATGAATCTCTGCCAATGGACTCCAATTACTCTCAATACATAGCTCCAGTACTGGGTGGATATTCTCCATCTGATTTAAAGATGTGTTTAGGAGTAATTTAGTGTAATAAAACAGAAGAATATGATCAGAAAATGCAACAGAGGTATAAATGTATCAAAAAGGAAGACTTGAGAATATAAAATTTGAAAATTTGATAATATTTGATGCAAATACCAGGGGGACAGAGTGAATGCAACTAAGTAGAGCTAATTAATGCCCTAAGGATGATCAGATCCCTAGAAAATGATATAAGAGGTTTACTGTGATTGGTTGCTTTGAGTTTATTAAAAAAAAGAAAGGAAGTATTCATAAGTGACTACTTTTTCAATTGTTTTAAAACATATCACCGACTTCAGTTTCCATCTGATTTCAGGAGAAACAACCTATATATTTTGCTTTTTGTTAGACTCTTGATTCGTGCTTACTTTCCTTTCCATGATATGAATATAACAGTAATAACTAGTACCCTAGCTGAGGAAGAGAGTAAGAAAAAATGCTGAAACAGTATATTAACAAAGCAATGAGTCTTCCCCGTTAATGTAACTTTATGAAAAGAGACTATATTGAGGATTTACAATCAGAAGACCTGAGACTAATATCCAGCTCAGTCATTATAGAGCAAACACATTTTGAGTGTGTAATACATGCTTTACACTTTCTAGATGCTAAGACCACAAAAATGAGTAAGGCATGGTGCTTTTACTCTCAAAAAGCCACATTTCTATGAGAGATACATAGTTATTATTGACAATAAAATATGATTTCTTAAAAAGAAATTTATGTATGAGGTGTCTTTGTCATGTAGTCAAATCATTTAACCTCAACTGTGGAAAGGTGATTGTAATCATAGTGAAATTCTGTTTTGCAGTTCGGGTTTATGTAGATTTCAGGGTAATTAGAAACAGAGAAATATTAAGGGTTTGCAAAATATCACAAGTCTGACTAGCCTTATGGGAGTTTAAGCCAATCTTAAGAAATGCATCTTGCAGATTTATTTATAACAACATCACTTGGTCTTAGATGCCCAGATTATTATAAGTACTGAGACATTGAAAATTTGATGAAAACTCTAGATCTCCCGAGAGAGAAGCATCCAGTCTCTGACTACAATAGGTTTTAACAGTTTCTTAGGGTTGAAGAATTCCTTGAAGTATCAGGATAAATAAATTTTGGTAAAAAATATTAGTGATTTCTAATATTTATAGAGCTATTAGGTGGAATAGCTGAGAATTGAACCCCAGTGTTCTGAGACCATCAGCTATGGTGCTAATTACCACACTGCTACCTCATTTAAGGTTCACCCCTCCATAACACATCACTCCTAACTGCTGATGATATTATTGGGAGAGAGAGAAGAAGCTAATATGCAAGCGTGATTATCCTCCACACTTCTGAAATGGCTGCCTCATCTAGTGATCTTATCTTTCTGTTATAGGCTTTAGTCTCCTTTGGTATATACATATGTACATCATATGACAGTGAGACTATGTATAGGTAGATGCTAATACTCCTGAAAGCTTAGTCTCAGATATTGCTCTCTACTTCATTCCACAGCAATCATCCACATAACATAAATCCTAAGAATACTGTCTAAACACAAATGTTGATTTATTTGCTGACATTTATTGAGTTTTCATTCAGTCAGTTCATGGGATACAGTAGTGAACAAAACAGACAAAATGGTGTGTCCTTATGGAAATTATATTTTAGAGAAGGAGACAGACAATAAACAAGGGAAGTAAAATACAGGGGCGGACAAATGTAAGTTTACAGTTGTAAGTGAAACAATTTGTTCTTGTATTATTATTTATTAATTATTATATTATTTCCTACATGAACTACTATAAACTTATTTTTGTCCACCCCTGTATATTAATATATTGGTACTAAGAGTTAAAGAGAAAAAAATAAGGGAGAGGAATATGAAATGGGAGATGTTGAAGATTGGTAGGAGTTGAAACTTTAGATAGGATAAATTCAAAAATGAATATCCATATAAAATAATTGATAAAAAAGTGAGCCCATGATAATATATATTTACCATCAAAAATGTCATCTTTAAGTAATATCTATGATATTAGCATAAACACCATCCAACAAACATCGCCTTTCAGCACAGGAGCAATATTTCCAAGAATGCACAATATTTTGTTCAATTTAAAATGAGATAGTCTGCCGAAACCGGTTTGGCTCAGTGGTAGAGCATTGGTCCGCAGATTGAAAGGTCCCGAGTTCGATTCCAGTCAAGGGCATGTACCTTGGTTGCGGGCACATCCCCAGTAGGGGGTGTGTAAGAGGCAGCTGGTCGATGTTTCTCTCTCATTGACATTTCTAGCTCTCTAGCTCTCTCCCTTCCTCTCTGTAAAATATCAATAAAATATATTTTTAAAATAAATAAATTAAAAAAAAAAAATGAGATAGTCTGCCATTGTTGAGCCAATTGAGGTCCTGGGGGAGAAAAGTGAGAAGTCATCAAGGGACACAGAAGAGTGTCCCACAGCCATGACTGTTAGACTAACAGTTACAAGAATGACCTAGGAGTCTGACATTCAGGACTCAAGTTCCAGTCTGACATTAATTAGCTCTACTAGAGGCCCAGTGCATGAAATCCATACACCGGGGGAAGGGGGAGTATTGCTCAGCCAGACCTGTGGCCTCTCACAGTCTAGGAGCCCTGGGGGCTGAGCTTGCCAGCCATGAGCTCAGCTCAGGGTTTCTGGTTGAGCAGCGCGCCCCCTGTGGGAACACACTGACCACCAGGGGGCAGCTACTGTGTTGACAATCTGCCCCCAGGTGGTCAGTGTGTGTCATAGCAACCAGTTCTAACATTTGGTTATTCCTCTATTTGGTTGATTTTGCATATTAACCTTTTATTATTAGGATGATTTGGGCAAGATAGTATGTCTCCTGAGCTCTAGTTTCTTCATATCTACAATAAAAGAGTTTGTAGCACTTTCCTGATACACTTTCAGAGATGATTAAATAAAACTTAGTGTATAGTATTGAGCACCCCAATGACCACACATATAGTAAAATGTGTAATTAAAGGCAGCAATTGATGTTGTGGTTATAAGCTGTGCAACTTTGAATAAGTCCTGACACTCCTGAGCCTCACTTAATAACAACCTTGCCCTTAAAAATCAGTCCTTGACCATAGATAATCAATGAAGAAAATGTATATGAAAATACTATTAAAGTTAGAATATGCAATACTTATATAAAGTACTTCTTCAATAGTTATTAATTGAAATGTGGTTCTAAAACTCCCCTGCCCAGAAAAGAGATTAATTTTTTTGATAAACCATTATTATTCATATTATTACAGTTGTTCTTCTCCCCCCTCCAGCTCCCCTCCACCCAGTTCCCACCCCACCCCATGCCCTTACCCTCCTCATTGTCCTTG